CGGAGGTCGGGTCGCCTCCTATGTGTCTGTAGTAGAACGTCCTCATGGTGCATTCACAAGCACTCGGACATCCGACTTTCGCTCGTTATTCGTCATATGCGGACTTTCGCTCTTTCCAACCGGCCACATATTTTTGAATTACATCGTTCAGAACTGGGGTGGCAGCCCGGGTGGCAAGGCATCTTCTAGGGGTGGCAGATGCCACCCCATGCCACCCCGGTAGATCCGCCCCTGCCTCAGACTGAGCTGAGACTCGAGCATCAGGTGAGGAAAACCTGTCCCTGTACACATGTAATGTCAAATGATGTCACTGAGATTTACTATAATACATAATCACATGAAAAGAAACTTGTTTTTTGATAAATGCACATCATGTGAATAAATTTGCAAAGAAACACACTGGAGTAAGAGTTTTCAAACTGAATGTCTCATACGACATGTTACGTGGCTGACGTGTTGTTGTGTCTCGCATCTTCTGAAGAGCTCCATCTCTCACCCCCAACCACTGGACCTGTTCCTGCTATAACCTCAGCTGATTTACCTGGTAAGTTAACAACAAAACAGACTTTGTAATTTCAAGGGTAACATGACATCTAACACGGATGACTTCTGGTTTATTTCGTTACTTTCAGTGGGCCTGTGACATTCAATATATCAGTTAAATAAGTCACTTTAAATATTCAGTCTAAATCAATCCCAGGCCACACTAGTAGGTGAATTTACTACCATTTCAGATTATAAACCATAGATGGGTGAAAACATATAAAAGGATGCTGTGAACAGTCCTGCTGCTGCTGTGCAGGGCCCCAAAAATCCTGTGATGGATAATTGTACAAAAACTGTAAAACTGTTAAATTGTACCTAAAAGTCAGAAAGATAAGGAACTTTAAAAGCGTTACACGGTGTTATAACACAAAACACGACAAAACATATTTTCTTTATTATTAATATTTTAATATTATTATTCTGATTAGTAAAGTTGGTGTTTTTTTTCTCTGATAACTATAAAACTTTCCAAAATCTTTTTTCTTTTAATTCGTCTCTGAGTTGAACTAAAGTGTCCGTGTGAGCCGCAGTGCGCAGAAGCGGAAGTCACGCGGTGCGGTCGCGGTATCCGTTGGTTTGAGGTGCCGGAGACATGTGGAGGACGCGCTGATGTTCGTCTGAGCGGCTGTTTAACGCGTCAAATCTGCACAAATCCTCCGCGTTCGCTCAAATAAGCGCTTCGGGCTGCTGTTCGGACGTAAGGAGCTTCGTCTCTGCTCGGGGCCGAGTCGGAAATCAGCAGAATAAGGTGAGGCTAAGCTAACGCGTGCTACCGCCATTGTTTATGAGCAGGCGGTGAGCCGGGCCCCGACTAATTCCTGGATTTAGCATAGTCTCATTCAACCCTTATTCCGCTTGAATTTTCATCTATGAAATTGTGTGCTTGTTTAGAATTATTTTTATTGGCGTATTTGTGAGTTAGAAATATCCAGAGAGGCGCTACACAGCGGCTACACTGATCCGCAGTGTACGCAGGTGATGCTCAGTCTTGGGTGACGTTTAATTCAGGCGGACTGGAGCTCGTCAGGTGTCTTCAGCTGCGCTCACATCTACATATGTGGAATCATAAGACTTAATAGACATCTGATGTGCTACAAGAAAAAGCTGCGTGTCGTTACCAACACGTTGCTGTGGCTAAATAACCTGAGAACTAAAGTCGACCGTTGGTCCTTGAGGTTGTAAATCGGAGCGAAGTGTGAAATGAAACTCAAGCAGGATTTCCTTATTGTCGGTTTATGGAGGAGGTTGGAGGTCTGTTTGGCGCGCTGAGGAGCTGCAGATCCACGGTGGCGCCAAACACCTGCTGAACCTCCAGACCGCCTGTTTTGAAATGTCTCCCACAGCCGTCCTGCAGAATGCTGCATCTCCAGAACCCAGAGCTGCTCATACTGGGAATAAATAACCATGTGGTAGTTTGTTCATCTGATAGAAACGATGCAACAAGAAAAGAAACCTGCTTTTCACCGGATGACTCTATGTGGAACTCATTCGTGAGCCCAGGATGATAGTGGTGGCTTTGTAGACATCTGCATAGAAAAACAAAACCTAGAAAGCTAAGAAATACTCTTTGCACCTTTCTCAGATTGTGTTAAAGGCATTTGCTTTGGGTGGCGTTCAGATCTGAGCTTTGTGGAGCTGATTTAAATTAAACAAATCGGTTGTGTTGCTTCGTGTCACACTGCAGATGAAGAACCTGTTCTTGGTTCAAATCGTTTCAGATGTTGGAATGTTTGTCACCAGATGTTTGTTTTTAGTTTTTCTCTCTTTGTGAAGAAGAAAAAGTCTTAATCACAGTGAATGAGCAAACCAGACAGACAAAAAATAATAAAATAAAAATTAAGAAACAAAGCTTGCTCATCGAGGATCCAAGAAACGTATTTTCGTGAATAGCAGGTTCATTGTTAGAGTTGAACATCAACTCCATTTGAAATCGCTATTTGAAGCAAAGCGCAAGATTTACTGTGACTGCCAAGTGATCAGACTAAATCTGTCATTTAATTTGACCAGAAAGAAACTTCCAGGGTTTGCTTTTTGTTGTCCGTTGATCGATGCGGTTCAGGTAAATGTAGTTCAGCTGATATCAGATCAGCGTTCTTATTTAGTGGCCACTCGTCGTTCATTTTATAGCAGATCAGACCCAGGGTTTAAACTGTCATGTTTATGGTTTTAAGTTATGCCATCCTTCTTGTGTGACCGTCTCGCCCAGTTGTCACTCTGATGTGTAAATATTTAACTGAAGCTTGACTCTTAATGAGCTGAAATGCAAATTAAAGTGCAGCGTTGGGAAAATCGCATTTTGATATTTTCTCCAAAACATTCAGCACCTGGTTAAGTCTATGAAATGTGGCTCAAAGCTCTCCTTTATTCCTTTCCTCCCAACAGGTAAGGAAAGATGTCGTACTATTCATCCCGTAGTTCGTCTCGAGCCACCGACTGTAAAGTTTACGTCGGCGACCTCGGGAACGGCGCTGCCAAAGGGGAGCTGGAGCGAGCGTTCAGTTATTATGGCCCACTGAGGAGCGTCTGGGTTGCCAGGAACCCACCTGGCTTCGCTTTTGTGGAGTTTGAGGATCCCAGAGATGCAGAAGATGCAGTCAAAGGCATGGATGGAAAGTAAGTAGAGACGGTTTCCTGAAAAAAAAGACGGATGAAGAGTGGAGGATTCAAAGACTTACTGAAACCGACCCACTTCTGTGTGATCTGTTGGTCCACCTCCAACATGTTTAGCACTCGACTGACCTTGTTCTTCTTCCCAGGGTTCTCTGTGGTTCCCGTGTCCGTGTGGAGATGTCCACAGGCCTGTCCAGGAAGGGCCGAGGGCGTCCGAGCCGCCGCCAGTTCGACCCCAATGATCGGTGTTACCAGTGTGGAGACCGAGGCCACTACGCCTACGACTGCTACCGGTTCAGCAAGAGAGGAAGACGCAGCAGGTGAAGGATCAGTCGGTTTTATCAGCGAGCCGTAGGCACTGATGCTTGTCGGTTTTTTTTCACTGTCTTTGCTATCAATGGAACAGAGGACGTGAATCTTGATTTTTCTTTTTTAATTCCAGGTCTCGCTCTCGTTCGCGGTCTCGCTCCAGGTCCAGGTCTCGTGGTCGTCGCTACCGTTCTCGTTCTCGTAGCCGCAGCCGCAGCCACAGCAGGTAAATCAAAGACAGACACGCCTAATAAACGTTATCAGGAAATGCTGGTTCTGGTGGCTGTTGTCATAATAGGAGCGGCACGAAATTAGATCTGTGATTAGCAGCTCAGATAGTGATGTGACGTGTAGATGCTATCATTGGATCACTGCTTGTTGAGTTCAGTCCACTTAGACAGACTTGATTTCATGTTTCTGGGTTTGTGGCTCACATCAGTTTAATGACTTCATCATCCAACGTTACGAAACATGATTGACTGAAGTTAGTTTGCAGATAAATACGAGTCAGTCCCTGTTATGTGTGGCTGAAGTTATGCTTGTTATCATTGAAGGATTGAAACCTGCTCGTGTAGTTTGTTTTTACCGATACGTTCTGGTCATTGGTGGAGCTGTTCTTCTTCTGGCTACCTGTGTGTTGATTCTTGATGTATTTTCTCAGGAGCCGTCGTCGATCTCCGTCCTATTCCAGGCGCAGGAGCAGGTGAGTAAACAACACAGTTATTGTTTGTTTGTTTCCCCACATATTTAGACTGTGCGATACGATGCTCATCCAGATTAGATTAATCCAGTTGGCAAAGTACTTGTTATCTTCTGTTTAACGCCTCAGATGTTGTCGTTATTCTCACCGCGTTGTGACTAACTGCTGTGTTTCCCGTAACACCAGGTCTGGATCTCAGGCTCGCTCCAAGTCCAGGACTCCAGCAAGAAGGTAGGTTCTGTTCTTGTCCGAACTTCAGCAGCTTGAATCTGAAACATACAGCTGTTGTCAAACCTGAAGATGGATCGCTGCTGCAGCCTTTTAGTTGTCTAGATGTCGCCGCTTTACACCAGCTTGTCTCTGTATCATGAAGCTGTTCTCTGTCAAGAACATTAATCAGCAGTGAGTTATAGTAAAAGTCTGATTCTTTGAACTGTGTAGAAATGTGGTGACACAGTTAGCAGCCATCACAACATCTGGATTTATCAACATTAATGACTGAGATGTGACAATACTGAAGAGGAAATTCAGATCTTTCAGACATGCTCTCGTTTTTGTTCCGAACATGTCGGCTTCATGGTTTCCTCGCTCGCTGTGGTGAGTTTGTCTGAATGAAACTGTGAGAAACATGAAGGTAAAGAGGATCAACAGAATGTCAGAAGATCCATGAAGCTGTTGTTCATTATCATGTGTCAGAAAGGGGCTTCAGTTTCCGGTATTCTGCTGGAGAGTTTCTTACGTCTGTTCTACGCTGAAACGTGAGACAGAACACTGAAATGAAAAATAGACCTTACAGGCAGCCAGGTCAGAACCACACGGTGATATCTGAGAAACACATTTCTCTGCTTCAGTGTACAAAGTGTAGAGTGTAAATGTGTGTCTTTCTACCAGTCGCTCCAGGTCCCGGTCTGGCTCGGCCCCCAGAGGGCGTTCTGTCTCCAGATCTCGCTCACGCTCTCAGTCCGCCAACCACAAGAGGAACAGGTAAACCTCAGTCTGATGTCTTTCACTAGAACAGGGTGTAGGCAGAGTAATGTCTAATGCTTAGTTGTCTCTGTTATTGTAGACATGTGTAACAGCTCAGTGAGGTTTAGATCAACCTGTTAGAGATTTAATGTTGCGTTCAAAGTCAGGGTCAGTTATGTTTTTCACATTAGCCAGAGGGAGGTGCTCCATTTTAGGCAATGGGTGTTAAGTAGAGCCTTCTTCACCGGAGAGTCACGATGCTGCCGACCTGCCGACCGACGACACGACGCTGAGATGGACGACCTACAAGATCTTCTACGTCCTCAGATCTTCTGCCCCTGCTGGGGGCATTAGAGCAGTGGGGGGGCAGACTCTAAGTAGATGAGACCTCTCTCCTGTGCTCTCTTTTCACTGCCTCGGTGGTTCTGCATCAGTTCCACCAGATGCTGAAAAGAGAACACATGACAGACGAGCTCTGCTCAGCCTGAGATAAGAGATGAATTCATCCTTTATTTAATCTTCCAGCTGTTGTAAATGCATCCAGGCTGACAGAGCAAGAGGGGAAAATGATTTACTGCATTAAGAAATGTTAAGAAAAGATGGTCAGACAGAGTTTTACATGTTTAGAAATTTGTTCTTAAATTTTAGCTCCCTATTTTGAATTTGGCTAGATCAAACAAGTAGAGATCAGACAAAGCGACACCATAGGTGTGACTTGCGGTAAGCATCTTTGCAGCACAGTTTTGTTTATTTTTCATATTTTCTTTAAAGCGTGTGGTGGGAGCTGAGCACTGCACTGACACCGCAGCTGATCCCAGGCCCAGGGTCTGCCAGCTGGCGGTGTGTACGTCCTGCGGGAGGGTGACTAAGCGCTGACCTGAGATCAGCCTTCGCCTGCATCTGGTGTTAGACAGCGAGAAAGAGGTCGACCTACCGACCGAACCCTCCCCACAGTGAATGGGCGACTGTCTGTTCAACCGACGCACACGCTCAGACGAGATCAGCCCGCGCACACATACAGTTGTTCGACTAGAGTCACCCAGCCAGCCAGCCAGCCAGCCAGCCAGCCTTCAGACGTACCAGAGGGCTGACCCACACAGATCACAGTTCGACCTTTTTAAACCCATTACCTACCTACCAGACCCCCCTACCTACCTACCAGAGTTCTTCGGCCTCTGTCTTAGCTTCTGAAAGTGAGAGAAAGAGCTGACGAGAGATCAGTCTTCAAGAGCCTCCCAGCGCAGTGTCTCTCCAAGTTGTAGTCATCCGTCCTTCAGTCCTTTCATCCTTCGCTTCTCTGTACTTGTTGTTTCTGCCACTGTCTCCAAAGGTAACCAAAAATCAAACCCCTGACAAGCTCATGTTGATGGTGAAAGAATTGACAGGCTTGATGTAGTCTGGGAATCTGGTGACTGTAGAGCTAAAGTTGAGGCTTTAACCAGCATGCTAAGATGTGTGTTTGCATGTGTGAGTGTTTGGATGCCTGGGTGAGTGTTAAAGGGCTGTGGGGAGGCTTTGTCAGATATGTTTTTCTCATGTGCCACATCATTATCATTTTAAGCCGCTTTTCTATGTTTGTAGCTGTGGCAGGATTAGATTTCTTAGAGCAGACACAAAGCTAACAATGAGTCAGCGGTGAGGACATGCCAGATATTTGGAGGGTGTTTTATCGCCCTGGGGGTCAGTTATCTGTTTAGCTTTTGATCCTGGACAGTTATTTCTCAGAAAGTGTCTGCGTGCCGGGCTCAGATTACAGGAGTTTTAAAATCCTCAAATGTTCCATAGAATAAAAGTCACACATATTCTTCCCTCTAATCTCACACGTGGATATTGTGGTGCAACAACGAGCTGTAATGGTAATGATACTACACAGTGAGGGGAAAAAGTAAAAAGCCTAAATAGGAAATGGTTCAACACCAGTCGTCTCTTGGCAGCTTTCCACTGCAGGAACTCTGAGTCAACACAAGGTGGCGTGAATGTTCACAGAAAAAGCTCCCAGTCAGCCTTTTTTCTTTTTTTTTTTGCCATTGCGCTGAGGGATTCAACCCCGAAACAACCAACACTAGTTAATGGAATAACTTCAGTTTCATAAGGATGCAGGAAATGCAACGATGGAGGTTTTTTTTATCCACCGAGTTTCACGTCGTCGATGGTGATGTTGGAGAAGATCGCTGCTCAACGAGGTCGTCCCGACAGAGTTTACACAACTATTGAAAATCTAGAGAGTGAGATGCTTCATTTCCTGCATTCTGGTGAATTTTTATGTCAAAGGTTTCTGCAGTGGAAAGCAGTTTGTTCTTGAGCAAGAACTGGGAGGAGATTTGATAGACATAGATGACGTCTGCTGCTCCCGTCAATAGCTGATATTTCATAACATCCAGATTTTAACATAAACATCAAACATGTTGAATATTTTCAGAGCCACTTGATGAATCTGTGAGCAGCTTATGAGCTCCGAGTGGATTTTTAAACTCCTCGAAATATCAAATAATCTGGAGCAAACCTCACGTTGGTCCAAGATCTCAGACCAGATGAGGAGCAAAATGTCCCAGAACTCCTGTAATCTGAGCCCGACATCAGGAATATTAGATGTAAAGCACATGAATATAATCTGACATAGTTTGGAGCTCAGAGATGTTCAGTCAGTTTAGATATCAGCACCTATCCAGTCATGAACTTTAAAGTTAAGATGCTGTATTTATGCTCCTGCTCTTTGTCCTCCTCCCTTGCTGCAGACTAACTGTTCTCCGTTTCTGTTTCAGTCGTTCCCGTTCAGCAAGTCCAAACCGAAGCCCAACACCAGCAGACGACTGAGCCAAGAAGATATTAGTCCCTTCACTGTCCCTAACCCTGCACCCTGTCTGCTTTTACCTACAGCAGCTGTTTTTGTATTTGTCTAGTCGCAGTCTTTCAGGTTTGATTTTCTCCACAGGACTGTAGTCTTCACGCAGCCTCAGATTGTTCAGGGTTTAGTCGGTACAGAAATCCGTTTCCATTAGATAGGAGTCGTTTTAAACGTTGCCGCTGCGTAGGTCAACTTTCTTCTCAGAATTAACGTAGCCAGTACAAGAAGCAGCGCCGGCGGAGGTGAACGTTGCAGCGGACTTTTTTTTTAGCAGTTCTCGCAGTACATTGCGACGGGATGTAGCACAGCTGATGCAGTTCTGGAGGATGACGCCGCATCGATCAACTGCTTTTATTCCCAGAGCTCAAGTTTCATCCAAATTTTTCTCCCCATTGAAGATTGGCAAACTCCTATTCGTTGTATTGCGCTCCTGAGTTTGAATGCAGTTTAGTTTCCAGAGTTTCTGGCCTGCATGCCTTTAAATATGACGCCACATTCCTGTTTGTTGGTTTCCTGCTGCACTGTCCTTTTATTACAGACCCGACCAGCGTCTCTGTTTGCTGAGTAGATTTTCCTCATGTGTTGATCTCTGATTTGTTTCTGTGACTTGATTTTAAAATGTAAACAGTGCTTCAGTTTGATTTCTGTAAGCGGCTGCTTTGACAGTTTCGTGCTGTTCCTGGCTCATATGTTGGGACGGTGGCAGTTTTATTTTTGAATAAACCTCTTCAACAAACCTCTGGTGCTGTTTTCGTTTCTCACTCTGTTCAGAAAAGCTGGAGGTTTTCCGTCACTGTCTTACTTAGAGGTGAATCATTCAGACTTGAGACTTGAGGTGCAGCAGACACTGGCCCTCCACCTCATTTTCATCTTCTTGACATTATGTGCAGCTTTTTGTAGTTTTGCATTTTACTGTAGCTGGTTTGTCTTTTGAGATTTTCCCCGTATAGTGTTTGTCGTCCCTTCTCTGTGGGGGGCAGCACATGATGTTGGTGTAATTTTATGTCTCTTTGGGGTCACTTGGGTTTTTTTTTTTCTCCATAGAATAATATTTGATGCCCTCCCAAAGAGATTTTAAAGATAAACCTGAATGCCAAAATAATAAGAATTTAGAAAAATGTAGTTATTCAACGTTTTAACCAAGTTTGTTCATTTAAGTTGTGTTTACTCTTACATAATATACATGGTTGTTTATCAAATGGTCAGAAATAACAGGAAATACATTGACTTCTGTGAATTCAGGTTAAACAGACTCACTGGGTGTAGATTACATTTAGTGGAAATCTGGAGTATATATGGATCTTAATATAATATTGTACAAGTATGATGAAATTGTGTTGCTATGCTTTTACAGTGCGACGAGTATCTTAAATAAAATAGTGTGAGAAAAATGTAAAGAGTATTTACAGAGAATAAAGCCTAAATTATATATAGGGAAACATATATATAAATAAATAATGTGTTCCCCAAAATAGATTCGGTGTTTGACAGAAGTCATGATTAATATTTTAAGAGTAAAAAAAATAAAAAATCCACCGCTGTCTCAGGCATATATTCATTATAAAAATAGATAAATTGTTAATATTAGAATAATCTTGATTTCACTTTGTTGCGTTGCTTTGTTGCATCTTGTCGTAAAAATAAAAATTATTGTTATTATAGAAAGTTACCAGGAAGTAACTGACCAATGTATGTAAACCATAAAATGTGCATTTCCCCGATTAGGGATCAATAAAGTTTATTGTATCCTGAACCTCCTGATCCAGGTCTCGTGGCGGACAACTGCCTCACAGTCCGCTAATACTCGATGTCCTCCCATTGGTTGGCCCTTCAGTCGCACGTAGATCGACAGCTGCCGGAGCCAATCAAGGCGCGTCTTGTCGTTAAAGTGGGCGTGGCAAGCCGAGGCTCGTTTTTCTTGACTTTTCCGTCCATTTCAGTTGCTCGTCACAACCACCATCCTTTTTAACCGGGACAACATGGCTACTGCAACGGGCCGTTACTACAGCGAAGACGGCAGGGCAACGAAACGACAGAAAACCGACGGAATGGCCACGGTGAGTCGGTGCCGTGTGGAATACAGCGGAGGTCACGTCAGCTTGCATGACGAGCAGTTTAAGTCGGTCGCTGCGTTTCTCGGTACAATTTGATTCATTCAGATGAACGTTGGGGGAAAAAAATGTGTCACGACGCGACGCGGGTCATTAAATCTTGTTTGGGGGCAAAGTCGCTGCATAAAACGCTCCGTTTATGAGCCGTTGTGTATATTTCAAAAGCGAGTTTAACCCGAGCAGCTCTCCACACCGTAGACCTCCATGAGCCGCGGCTCTGCTCTCTGAATGGGCTGATTGGAGGGCGGTTTCCCGGCCGGGCCTCGCCGGAGCCCGGCTTTGTTCTGCTGTCGTTAGCCGCGGTGCTAACAGGGAGCTACACACAGCAGCTAGCATCGAATTAGCGGCTTCACACCGAGAGGCTAAACTGTTGTCAGCTTGTTCCAACCAAATTAACAGAAAAGTTTATTGAGTTAAATATTAAAACACAATTAACTCCCACAGAAACTCTTCTTATTAGCATTTTGTTGTAGCGGCAAACACACAACAACTAATAATGACCCGAGTCCGTTATCTCTTGGAAATGTTTCTGAGAATATCCAACTATTAAAGTAGTCGCCCACCTTCCTAATAATCACTTTGAGTCATGTTTTTGGATGTTTTTAACAACTGAGCAACAAATAAAAGTAAAACCTCAGCTTCCATCTTCCTAAATGTTAATATTTTTAGTTTGTTTGTGTTGTGGATTACATTTTCTAGCATATTATAGACCAAACAGTCTCCACTAATCAAGACAATATTTGACAGATTCATCAACACTGGAGATAATTATTAATTGCATCCTTTTTACTTTGCATCAGTAATTCTTTTATGAGATCCTCTGTCAGGAGCTGTGCTCATTGATCAACAGGATGAAGGTCAGAGTTTCCACAATAAAACACACACACAGTGGTTTCCTGCAGGTCTTGCTGATCGGACAACAGAGGTCAGATGACATGTTATTAGCAGGTTAGACACGTAGCTTTTCACATTTCTGGTGGCTCACATGCTAAATACACCCTGAAAACACAATAAAAACACACAGTACAGTGTGTATTCTCCCATCCACACTATAAGACACGCCAGTTGGCTGCAGGCCTTGTGAAAGATGTTTTACTATTTGCATCAAATGGCAGGCAGCTGAAGATTGATGACGTGTTGTCAGCAGGTTAGACAAGTAACATGAGCTCTTCTGTGACTGATCAGAGGTTAGAAACGTAAGAAAAAGAACAGTGAACACCCACCAGTCATGTTTGGTTGGGTGCAATGCCTCCAAGATGTGTTTTAGACTTTGCAAGAAAGATCAGAAGGCGGTTGAATCAGATGACATGATGCCAGCAGGTCGTGTCAAGTGACTTGCTGCTCAGATGCTAAAAACACAATAAAAACTCCTGATATTGTAATGTGCATCCACCCGTCAGTGCTTCCACGCTACCTTGCCTGGTAGTTCGCTGCAGGCCTTGTTGAGCATGTTTTGTCAAATACAAGGAAACTCAGGAGACAGCAGAAGATAGATGACATGATGCGAGCAGGTCAGACAAGTAGCTGAACGTATTTGTTGACTGTAAACTTCCTCCACAGGGATATGAAGACCCACACAAAACTCTTCCGTCTGTGGTGGTGCATGTGCGGGGGCTGGTGGACGGCGTCACGGAGGCCGACCTGGTGGAGGCCTTGCAAGAATTTGGAGCAATCAGGTAGATCAAAGCGGCTTCATTCTGTGTGCACCTTTAAAGTGCAGCTGGGAGTTGAACTTGTAATCAGTATTTGACAAACAACGGCCCGCAAATGTGCTTCCAGCTACGTGGTGGTGATGCCCAAGAAGCGTCAGGCTCTGGTGGAGTACGAAGACATGAACGGCTCATCCACAGCTGTAACTTATGCTGCAGACAACCAAGTATACATCGCTGGTCACCCGGCCTTCATCAACTACTCGACCAGCCAGAAGATCTCCAGGCCGGGAGACTCTGACGACTCCAGAAGTGTTAACAACGTCCTCCTGCTCACCATCATGAACCCCATCTACCCCATCACCACGGTAACTAGCCATCTCATTACTTCAATTAAGGACTTTCCTTTTATAGTGATGTTTTTAAATCTGCAGCGGTTGCACCAGCCTGGACCAGGGTCAGTTTTACCCGTTTAGTTTCTTTTTGCACTCTTCTGCCGCTCTTGTGAAGTTTAAGTTAGAGACAAATGTGTGTTGTAGCATCGAGAGCATGCTGCCCAGTAAAAATGACAGCTGCATGATGTAAATATTTATTAACCACAATAGTGGCTGTGAGCTGGAAGACTTTGAATGAGCGACTGGCACATAAGTCATTTCCCCTCAGGGATCAATAAATTATTTCCGATTCTGCGCCACATGTCTGAAGAGGCAGAAACCACCAGTGTTCACAAGCGACTCATAAAACAAAACATCTGCAGCTTCATCCGATTGGCTGCTGCTCTGCCGGGTAACGTGGTCCATTAATAGGGCTGCAGATGAAATTAAATTTGGGAAAAAATCTGCCAGTTATTTTCTAGACTGATCATTTAGTTTATACGTCAGAAGATGGGATCGCAAAATCTAAAACCACGACCTGACAGATCTTTGTTTTAAAAATATTAAGTTTATGATATAAGACAAATAAAAGAATTATCGATAGCAACATCTTGTCCAGAACCGTGACGAGGACACAAACGTTCTGGTCTTAGAATCAGATAAACGTGACAACAACCTTCATACCTCTGCCACTGTCTGCATTGTCATCTGAGATCCGTTGTACCATGACTGTTGTGCTTTCTGTGTTGCCTTTATATCTTTTCTAACTATGTCAGGATGTCCTCGTGCTATTTTAACCCGCTGTGGGCCCGTTCAAAGAATCATCATCATCTTCTGCTGCTTCATTACGAGGCTGCAGCTTCATTTAATTTAGGACAAATCTGCCAGTTAGTTTCCACACTGATTGTTTAGTCTAGAAAACAGTGGAAAATATTCATCGCATTCATAGATGTTGTGTTAGCTTGTGACAAAAAAAACTCATCTGGAGCGGTGACGTGCAGTGAGACACGGATGTTCTGATTTTAGAACCAGATAACGTTACCACAACCAGCATACCTCTGCCTTTGTTTGCATTTTCAAATGAGATATTACTGCAGTGCTCACTTTGATTTAACATTTACTTTCACTCTCCCAGGATGTCCTCTACACTATTTGTAACAACTGTGGGCCTGTTCAGAGAATCGTCATCTTCAGGAAGAACGGCGTCCAGGCAATGGTTGAATATCCTTTTGTCTCGTTGCCGGGGTTTCCAGACTGATTGTTGATGCAACATGTTGAGAAACCGTGACCAAGAAGCTGGCGTTGATACATCACTGTCACTGCTTATCTAGAATCTACACACTACCTCCTCCAGCTGTCAGACACAAACACATTAGAACAGTGTTTTCAAATATGCAGACACCACAAAACCCTGGAAGTCAAAGCTAAATACAGGTTGGCTGCTAGCTGCTGTAGCTGTCTGATGGCCTTCTGGAGGCAACCATAATATTTGTGCAGGTGGTTATTATCCCTCTGCACAAAAATCGCCTGCACTCGCTGTATGTGATGGAAATCTTGTCTGATTTATTTGTTGTCGGAAAGAAGATAAACCTGGAAGAACGTGGAGGCGCACAAACATTTTTTTCCCGCTCTTTCACCGCCTCTGCGAAGATAATCTGTTCCTTTCACGTCTTGTCCTTAACCCTGTCATCACATTTGACTCCGTGCAAAGCGCCCAGCGAGCCAAAGCTTCCCTCAACGGCGCCGACATCTACTCCGGCTGCTGTACCCTGAAGATCGAGTACGCAAAGGTATGAAACATGACTCAGCCGGTGTTTGAGTGGGTGTACTTGGCATTTTGACAACAAAAACACCCGCACGACATAACGGTAGAGGTAGAAGATATAATCGTTTTATTTACAAATGCTGTATTTTCATGTTAACTGGTTCCAAATGTCAAGTCTGTGTGCAACCAAATGTCAGTTTAAACTACGATTAAACAGCAGGATGACCCCGACAGGCATTTTTCAAGTAATCACCAAAATTACTGCATTTATCAGAGCCGGAAACTGAAAACTGACTCAGCAGCTCTTGAGATAATTGTGTGTGACGTGCTTCTGTCGGAAAGTTAACTGAATATAAGCTTAGAATCGTGATGCGTCATCAGAATTATTTTTAAACTTTAAAAAAAAAAATACAATAAAATTCAGATCCTGTAATAATAAGTAAATAATGAAACAAATTCTGCGCTCCTCTGCATAACTTAGTAGCCGTGGCTGGTTCTGTTGAACAGTCATGTGACAGTGATTCAGGGGTTATCGGCTGAACTGCAGGCAGTGTTTCCACAAAGCAGATGGAAACAAATTGGAAAGATTGATAGCACAATAAAACATGGTGGATTAATAAAATAAATGCAGCATGACTACGGAGTATACAGAGGAGCAAGTTGATGGAAGATGCATTAAGCATGGGGAAACATCTTTCTAGCTGAGGGGCAAAGTAGAGTTGAAAAACGAGTTGTTGTGGTTGTAAAAATGCAAAAATCACCTGTGGGCACTTGTAAAAATGTCATCCATGTTGTTTCCAGTTTTTGTTTTTTTGTAAAGTAATCAAATTCTGCTTTTATTTTCAATTTTCTAATGATTATTGGAGTTCTAACTTTGCGTTGTTGCGCCAGACATTTTTAGTTCCATCTGCTTGTTGCCATGACGGTGCTGTTTCCGTAGAGGTGTAGTAAAAAAAAAAAAGCCCACATGAGGTTAAAACACTGTGAAACATCTACTGTTGGTTCAGCTACACGTGAACTACTGAACTGAATGTATAAATGGCTTTTTGCCAGCCAGGTTGAAACTCTGGTTTGTGTATTCATGCGTTCAATCGTTTTTCTTCAGCCCACTCGCCTGAATGTGTTCAAGAATGATCAAGACACCTGGGACTACACGAACCCCAATCTGGGCGGCCCAGGTAAAACCTCAAGCACCAAACACGTTCCCAAGCGTTTTCTGATCGCCACACATGCTCCTGACACTGTTCAGCAGCCTTACTGCCACTGTGGGGAGTTTCAGCAGCATGCTACTGGGTGGATGGAGGAAATGCTCTTCACTGATAATGCTGCTAAATTACTACATATAAAACAAATCACCCGTTTGTTAATATGGCATTCTAGGAAGCACTTGAGTGGCATTATGACTGAAGTGTTAATTATCTGAATATTTCTCAGTACGAACTGCTGTCAGGGTTATTAATCAGGATTGACTAGTCTGTCAGAATGAGCAGCAGGATGTCATAAAAGAAAACTGCTGTGTGGTGGGGCTGGCAGGAACGCAGTACTGACAGAAAGATGACAAATTGTCTTTTTCAGAGTGTGTTATTAAGCAGGAGACTGTCTCAGCACTGTATGCTAATCTGTATCTGGAGGCTAGCAATCCTGTTCCTTGTGCCGTTGTTCTGGTTTACTTGACCTGTTGCACTGTTTATGTTGGACTGTTCCACTTGAGTTCAATCAGGATGCCGTTCACGTGCCGAAGCTCCAGTTTCATGAGTCTGTAGATCCTGTTTGAGCACCTGGGCTGTAGTTACTGCAGAATAAATGTCTTCCCACAACAGCTCGCTCGGCTGGTTCACCTGAAGCTACCGTTGGTGAGGAGGAAACAGAACTGTGTTACTGTACACCTGCTGCATAGGTGTCTGGTTTTTTCCTAGAGGACAGTTAATCATCTCAGTTGTGCATGTTCTTAGTCTGGAATGTGAACTATTTCACAACCAAGCATATTTAAAATAGTTAACTGGGTTCAGTCCGTTTCCTCTGTGATTTTTTCACAAGTGAAGTGAGACCAGTTGGAACTGATGTTGTCATAACTGGTAGAAACCCAGAGACTGAACATAAATCAGACCCAGCAGTCACTGGTGTTGTGTTCTCTGGTACGCAACACTTAAAACTATTGTGTGTGTAAAATGGGGTAAAACAACACAACTTAAACGAGGCATGATTTTTTTATTTTCGTTTAGACGGAAAGTAGGTGGAGATAAACTCTGGCATGAACTCAGGTAGGTCCTGATTTTTAAGTATCATGAGTATTTTTATTTTACCTTATAACCGACCTAGCTTAGCGTTAGCCTCAGGTAGCTAGCTAAACGGACGGCCTCCAGACACTAAAGCTCAGTGCCACGGTTAGCAGTTTGACAGCGGAGTGCTCAGTCGGTAAGAAGCTCCACCTGGTGGCACGATCAGGAACCACAGTGAAGCTGCAACACGTTTCACAGTTTGACGGTTAAAGTGCACATCCCACCAAGACACAAACATGTCGTCTTTCTGCTTGTATTTGCTGTCCTGCCTTCCTCACAACACGTATAAGTTCTGCTGGGTGTGTGGAATCTGTTAGTGGTGTTACTGTTTTTTTGTTGTTGGTTTTTTTTTTTAACATGCAACATGTATTTCAACAAGTTTTCTTGCCATGAAGACTGATCCTGGTCTTTTCCGCTGTCACCTACCTTCTACCATTACGTTTGACTAACATTGACAGAAGAGCCTGAAGTTTAAAGTGGTCAGAAAGTGATTCTGACCAGAGAAAAAAAAAAACACATTCAGCTCCACCTGTAACTCATTTTGCTTTCATTCGGCTGAGAAGTGAGAGCAGAGGCATGGACCAGCATCAGTCAACAGGCTATCTGCCATCTGTGACCTCCAAAAGACATGCACAGGAATGTTGTGCAGAGAGGGAGAAGCTGACACATGCTGACAACATCACCACTCGGCAGCCACCGTCACACAGAGCGTCCCTGAGATACAAAGGGACAAACTGCAAGACACCATCCACTCAACATGACGATGTAGGACTGACATACCACTCACTCCTCATCTCTGCATTCGTGCACAAGAGCCATGAAGACACTTGTAGCGTTGAGGGGAGTTTTGGGCACTGAGCTACACTCGGGCCCTCCCCTCTCCTCTCCTTCCTCCTCTCTCACCCACTTTGAGACACATTGAAGCAGGCCAAAGCTTGCATCTACAGAGCCCCACTGTCTACACCAGACGGAGACTGACACCAGAGGAGACACTGCACCACCCAAACAGAAGGTAGAGACAGACATCCCTCACTACAGCAGACGAGCCACACAGATACTGACCAAAGTCTCGGCCCTTCCTGTACTGTTTTGGGCCCCATCGCTCGTCACGCTCTCCGACACGAAAACAAAAACATTCGAGCAACACACTCTGCGACACTCGCTGGCGCCGCACCGACTGATCCAATAGATGCCTCACACCTCGACCAAGCTGTAGCCAGTCACACTGGAGTCAACACAAGACAACTGATGAAGACAAGACACTGCTGACAACACCATCAACCACACTCAGCCCAGTCAGGCCCATTTTTGGTTTATATGTGTCCCCCACATGGAGTTCAGATTTTCTCTCTTGCTCTTTCTCCTCATCTTCTTCTCCCTCTGACTCTCTGACTACATGCATCCCTGTTTAGCTTTCCCTTTTTTGAGTGTAGCTTTTTTTTCTAAATATATTAAAGTCTCTAGAACCTGTGTAACGCCTTCCATGTGATGCAGGTTTGGCAATTTGCGGCTAAGAGGAGCCAGCTTCCCAACTGAAATGTGCTCTATGGCAGCCTCACGGCGTACCAGTGGGCGCTAAGCGGACTATTCCAAAATGGAACAATCAGGACGGAAACAGCAACCAGCCAACCCACCAAAGGGCGTTTCAACTTGATAAAACCAGGAATCGATCCTGAGGTGGAGAGTTGTTTCCCCAAAAGAGGAAATGGATAAGAGTATGGGCTGAAATGAATTGAGTGGCGAGTGGTGGAACTGCTGCAGCAAATGTCTTCCTCCCACTGTTTGTAAACATGCAGTAAGTAAATCGAGACCCTCCTCTGGGAACATAACTGCACAGCACCACATGACCCCAAAGCCCAGCAACCAACATCGCCACACAAGACAGACATGACTCCATTTTTTTCCCCTCATACAGGCTTAATCTCTCTTTCTGGAAGAGGCTGATGGTTGTGGTTCTGTCGAAGCCTGTTTTCTAATGTCTGTTTGTTCGCTACGTCTTGTCGCCTCCCCTGTTGGCAGTTTACAGCCATCAGTACTCTCATGTATGTGTGGTTCTCTGGACTTGTGGTAGTTTCTTTGGGAAATAAGCTATTAATCTGGAGTAAGGGTGTGAACTTCATTTTAACTCATGTCGGATGTGCTTGACTCATGACCAACTCTGTAAAATTACCGAGTGTTGCACACCTGGAAAGCCGGGAGAGCTTTTCATCCACCGGCCACAGTGGCTGCTGGTGTCCAAATTGTGTGGTTGGTCACCTGCAGAGGCACCAAACCATCTCAGTTAATCGTAACCTGCATTTATGATGAAATTCCTCCCAAATGAGGACAGAAGGCCTCGTCCCAAGTGGTTTTACTGCACTCTCCTGACATTTAACTGGGGTTATTTCACTTCATTTGCCCGGTAAAAATGTAACTTTTGATTAACCTGGCTTCCCTTCTGATTGTGTATGATTATTGTGTACCTGTACAGATGGTGATGCAGATGGCAATGGGAGCAGTGCAGGTGTGTGTGAGCGTACAAACTTCCATCTTTAAATTTAGCCATTTTGTAAGACTTATCCAGTGACTTTGTTTGATATTCTTACCCTGTTCACTTCCTTGATCATCAGCATCCGCCCCATGTTTGCCATCCCCCCCCCCCCCCCTTGTTCCACTGTATATGCTAAAGGTTTACCATTGTGGATGCTTCTGGATTAAAGAGGCTTGTGTTTTAGGGTCATTTCCTTAGAACCTAATATCAGTCTTTGCCATCTGGACATTCCCACGCCTCCCTCCCCATTCCCTTCAACTAATTTTAAAACAGACCAAGGACAGTCACTCAGACTGTCGAGCCATTTGGACTGCCTGTTGTGGAGTGTAATGTGGGGGGAGGGCTGTATATGTCTGCCGGTGTGGCTCTCACATGCCAGATGGTCTTGAAATGCATGCCTCTCTCTGAAATACTAGTTTGGTTGAAGTGCTTTAGTAGATTTATCGTAGACTTCATGGTGTGCAATCTGGGGCAGATTTTGGCGCCAAAATGTCAGTTTATCATACATATTTAATGCTTAGGCATCCCATTGTCATGTGAAGATTGCAACCAGTCTTGTTTCCTCTCGTATTCATCTGTTGCTTTTTCCTCCTACCTTTTTTCTCCTCTTGTTTCTGTCTTCCCGTTCCTGTAGAGGACGTGAACGCCAACCCCAACAAGCGCCAGAGACAGCCTGCTCTGCTGGGCGACCACCCTCCAGAGTACGGTAAGGCTCTCACGCACCTGGGAAACACCAAAACACACCTAGACACAAAATACTAGATGGAACTTGATTCATCTCAGAGGAAATTTTTGTCCAGAAAAAAACAAAATGACAGTAAATGCAGTGAATAAAGTAGAGAAGCAATAAAAGTATGACGTGTTCCTGAAACATAATTAGTGGTTGTTGTACATGATACTGAATGTGCTCCTCTCGTCTGACAGTTCAAAATGGAGTGGACAGTGTGGATTATTAAACTTGATGTATTTAGGTTAGAACAGTGATCTGGAGTTATAAATAGATCCTCAGCAGGGTGGCAGTGAAGTGATGCTGTCGTCATGTTTAACCGACTGAATTTGTCGTACGTCCAATACAGGAGGCATCTTTTCCTCAAACACGTTTTTTTAGACCACCTCTTGAGTTAACCTCACTTTGCTTGATTAACTATTCACGCTTTGTTTAACTCGTCTCACCCGCTTCTTTCTGCAGGAGGCGGTTACCATGGCTACGACGAGAGCTATGGATCCCCGCCCTACGAGGGTCGGCGCATGGGTCCACCGATGAGAGGCCGCGGAGGACGAAGCTACGGGCCCGGCTACGGACCGCCTCCCCCTCCTCCCGGCGAGTACGGTGCCCACGCCGACTCCCCCGTTCTCATGGTGTACGGGCTGGAGCCTCTGAAGATGAACGCCGACCGCGTCTTCAACATCTTCTGTCTCTATGGGAACGTGGAGCGGGTGAGCATCTGGCGGGAGATTATTTTAGCTGTGAAGCAGAAGGAGAGGCTGAAATTTGCAAGCTCTTCATTACTGCAGTGTTTTATCCTTCAAGGTCTATTTCATGAAGAGCACAAAGTGAAACACTCGTCCAATTTGCTGTGTCATAGAAAAACACACTGAAGATGCAACACATTTCTTTTCTTTTAAAACGTGAAAGACAAATATATATGTACATAAAAAAATAGTTCTAGGCCTCAGAACCAGGAAGAGACACATCCACAATGAGATTTAGTGAGTCCTGTTTTTTGTTTTTTTTTTATAAAAGCGAATTTAAACGAAAATGTGTGATTTTGTGGCGTCTAGTGCCGTCATGGTGTTCACTGCAACCAAATCCCTCATCACTGCCTTTTCCAGTGTGTAGGAAAACTCAGAGCAGTCGTACTTCTAAGTGAAACCATGTTCTGGGCTTCTGTCCAAACAGCAGAAGAGGATCTGCTCCCTCTGTGGGCACAAGGGCTGATGTTAAAAAGAAAAAACGGTTTCATCGTACAAGTGATGAAAATAATCTGTACTATATTCCATTTCTAATTCTAAATCTTACCCTTTAAATCTCCTATTTGAGCAGCGTTTCTATGAATAGTTGCACCTAAAATATTCATAGTTTTATCTTCATTTCATGTTTAATCTCAGGTGCCATTTGACAGGCTGAAGTTGTGAACTGAGCAGCAGTGAAGTTGGAAAAAATGTCACACAGCGACTAAAACAGGATTATCTACTGAAAGCGTCTCTTGACAGACGGCTTTTTGAAATGAGCTCATTTTTCATGCGACTGAAAGCTTTGACTTCTTACTTTACACCTCAGAAAGCAGCAGCGTGTCCATCCATCAGCAGACGCACAATCTCTACATCAGTGTCTCAAACCTAACGACATGTCTACAGAAAACAAGTCAAGCATGTTCTTTTGCTTTCTACAGGTGAAGTTCATGAAGAGTAAGCCTGGGGCTGGCATGGTGGAAATGGGAGACTGCTATGCAGTGGACCGCGCCATCACCCACCTCAACAACAACTTCCTGTTTGGACAGAAACTCAACGTCTGGTGAGTTCATCCTGCACAGGTTTATGGAAACATGACTTTTGTGAATAAGTGTGTTGACAAGTTTTTATCAGAAGATTGTGGTGGAGGTCTTTAGAATTAATACTGAACCCAGACAATGTATTGCACAGCATTTTATTTGAGCTCCAACATCTCTACTCAGTATTTACCTTAGCATATTGAATAACTACAAACATTATTACTCCCCCCAAGTTTTTTTTTTTAAAAACGACACAGTGGAGTGAAAAAAAAAGTCAGGTTACTTTTCTAATAGCTGCATAACTCATCAATGTTCAGAGAAGCTGTGTGTGTATATGCAATTTAAAGATTTTTACTCTGCTTATGTGATCAATGTATTTTCTTTCTTTTTTAATTTTTACAAAGTCTAGATTGTATGTTTTAGGAAACAGAATAGAGGTAAAGTCGTGGAAACGTATTTTTCCATATAACTTGTTAATCGTCCCTCCCACAGCGTGTCCAAGCAGCAGGCCATCGTTCCCGGGCAGTGCTACGAGCTGGACGATGGAACGAGCAGTTTCAAGGATTTCCACGGCTCCAGGAACAACCGGTTCACGTCCCCAGAACAGGCAGCTAAAAACCGCATCCAGCACCCGAGCAACGTGTTGCACTTCTTCAACGCCCAGCCAGACGTCACGCCGGAGGTTTTCTCTCAGGTCTGTAGGAACAAAGACGAATGTGTGTTTGCAGTAGTTTTGTAGATAGAAAAAAGCCTTTGTATTTGTTAGCATTAAAATATGCATGTAGTCAAAGTATGTAAAATACCCATGGAGCCTAATAAAAGCTGTTCTCTCGACAGATTTGTGAGGAGATCGGTGTCAAGAGCCCCGTTAACGTCAAAATGTTCACAGGGAAAAGTAAGTCTTTAATTAATGCATTAAAATATGTTTTTTGATTTATACCATAAAGAAAAATCATAGTTATCATCAGACATGGCTACTGTTGCTGTTACACCTGATGCTCTATCAGTCAGCCTCAACACAGACAAACGTTTGAACCAAAATCTTGAAATTCTGACTGCTGCTGTCTGTTCTCACCAGGCGGTGCAGCTCCCAGCGATCGCAGCGCTTCAGGTCTGCTAGAGTGGGAGTCCATCAACGACGCCATGGAGGCTCTGGCGCTGATGAACCACTACCAAATGAAAAATGCAGGTATGTTCTAGACACCCGTGTCTCATCTGAACCTGTTCTCATGATCCCACAACTCGGTCTCTTCACCATCTGGTGTTTAAATGCAACTAAAAACTTCAGGCTTTTAACACAGCACCGCTAAACCACCAACATGGTGAACTGTTTTTGTCAACTGTATTCCAGTTAAGTTCTAGTGCACATCCCAAAACTAGCTGGATAATGTGTAGTGACCGATGTTCAGGTACGGTAGTTTGCTGCTCTGCACGTGTGAAGTTACACAACGCTGGTAGTTTCTGAAGTGAAATACCCAGAAAAGAAACGTGACAGTTATTTATTAATGTCCACAGAGGAATTTTATTTTAAACTTAGTGTCTTTGTGAAGGAAACCCTAATTTATCGACCAATTAAAGCATGATAAATATGTGAAACTAAAATGTAGACTTTTGTCATGTGAAGCCACGAGTCCTGACAGTTTCTACTAATAAGTTTAGTGGAGCTTTGCTTTATTTCTAAGGTTGATGTCCAACAGCTCAATGTTTAGTCACTGTTCAGACTTTAGCTGCTGGTTTGGTTCAGTCTGTGGTGTTAAGGACATTTCAGCTGTTAGTATTTGCACCTGCGATGCTCTTATGACAGATGCATTTATTTAGGAGTTCAGAATACAAATCTCAGCCAGCAACAATGTGTCACAACCTTAATTATACCAACGGCTGCAGCCTTGGGATGACCTAGCTGTTGTTTTGATTTAGGCTGTGACATATTTGCTTTTAACGCCCGTAACACTGACCACATGCGGTGATCATTTTGCTGGCTGAGCTACTGTATTCCTCGACTCCTACATAAAGAAATAAAAATATCTGCCATAGATGCAGCAGCTGGACATAACTAAAGCAACAGTTAAAGTCCAAACAGTGACCGAATATTCAGGAACAGCAGCTGGATACTGTCGGAGATCAAACTTTTAAAAATAACTGATCACAAAGTCTCACATCGTCTCTCCTCTCTGTAGTAACTGCAGAGTGTTGTCAAACTGGCAGCGTGCTCTCACTGGGACAACAAACTGTTCATATGGATCAGAAGGAATATAAAGCATATTGTGAAGAAAAGCAAGTCTCCAAAATGTCACCGTAACTCTTAACAACACACAGATATACTAACTGAATGCTGGAAACATCGGTGCAGCTTTAAGACGTTCACTTTTGCATAAATCCCGGTTCTTGTTGCCTAACACTCAGTGTTTGTGTCTTCCCAGCTGGTCCCTACCCCTACACCCTCAAGCTGTGCTTCTCCACCGTTCAGCACGCCAACTGAGCGCCCTGTTGTAGCCGTGTGAAGAAGATGAAGACTGATCCACCATTCCCATGTTCACGTGTATTTAGACCATGACTGCTTGCAACACACCTGGGGTAAATTGATTTTCAACAATTGCGAAATCTTTCACAATTGATGCCTAAAGTTCAAACTCCTCATATTTGGTATATTAGGCAGACTTAACAGATGCTAACAGGCATTTAAATTTTTGATATTTATGCCCCAGATGTGGTTTATAGAGTATCAGTTCCTGTATGTCATCAATATTAAGTTGTCCTTTTTACTTTTTGTATTATGCTTATACAGTAACCTGACATAGCATATTTGAAAGAACTGGTTTTATGCTCAGGTGGGTCCGTGGCAGTGGACAACATGGTTTTGTAAAAGTTGTCTTTTGAAACTTTTATTATATATCACTTTTCTTTGTTGTGTTATTTTAATTGCTGCCTATTCAGTTCTGCATCTCCGTGTCTGATGTGCAGATGGAGAATTGTTTTGTTCTAAGAAAATAAAAAAACAATTTAGAGTTGAGTTTATTGTGCCGTTCTTCTACATTTACTCGTTTGCCAATGTGCACTAGTGGTGACATACAATGAAACTCACAAGCCGGAGATCACGTTGCAACTCACGTTCGGAAATAATCAGAAAATGAGAGGAAATATTTTAGATTCTGCTCTACTTCTAGGTCAGTGGTACGACCAGCTCGCTAGGGAGAAGGGAAGTAACATAAAACCCCGACGTTAGAAACAACAAAAGTGAGGCAACTACAGACTGAATGAGTGCTGTGGAAACAAGAACAAAAGGAGACTCTAACCGAGAGTTTAAAATTACCATTCTGCAGAAGAACAAAGAAATACAAAAATACGATCCAACTAATCCAACCTAATAACAGAAATACAATCCTAACAGCACTCAATCACTCGTGAGGCTAACGGCAAATCTAAGGTGTGTGCAGTGTTCTTAAACAGGATCTAGTGCCTCAACAAGTTCACAGAAGTACAACAATCGTAAGACACAAAGAAGCACATATGAGCAGGGCTGGCAACTGCCGAATGCTGGTCTGCTGGTGTTTTATATCCTCCCAGTGGATCAGCCTTCTCCAGCACAGGTGGATGGAATCAGTTCCTGCTGCAGGGTAACCTGAGGGCTGCAGTGCAGACACACACACCGACTGAGACGAGGGAGGTAAACAGCCAGCAATCCGGTGACCATCTCTTGTCCAACGGTTAGATTTTCCTGCATTCTACCCTGAAGCAGCGTTTAGATAATGTTCAACTAAATCACCATGGAGTCATGGCCGTACCTCCAGTTTCCTGCCAAACAATAAGTAGTATTGTGAAAGTAGGAAACATGGCATCAGAATTAGGTTGAAGTGTCAAATCACGGCTACACTTAGGGTTTCTCACTCTAGTACACTTTTATGGAAACTGGATCAGTTGAGCTTTGTTTACTGGAGGACAGAAAGGCTTCATGACAGATAAGGAATTTACTAAAAGCGAGAGGGGGGGGGGGGAAAAGCCAAACTCTCAGGATTGACTGAGTCATGGCAGCATTTCATGGTGGATAATGGAAAAAGTTGTGTTTACTGCTGAATCCTAGTTAGATTAGTGACAGAAAGGTGTTTGATACTACAGAGGATCAAACCACAGTGAGTCACCTTCATCCTGAACGAGGAGCAGCAGCACTTCCTTCCACGGAAACATGCGACACCTGCTGGTTTGCGTCTTTGTGGAGAAGGACAAAGCTCTGACGAAGACCAAGGAGCGCTAATAAAAAAAAAATCAACTCCAGTGAACTTTATTGAAACCAAGAAAGACGAACACCCCCATCATGACAAGAAGCTCTTTGGAACGCTGTCACATTATGTTGGGATAACAAGGCTGATCCGGTCTGAGCAAACGGGTGGAGTCCATGTAGCTCGAGTGCTGCTTTAATTCAAGCAAAAGGGAGCAAACAACACTGAGATACCCACAAATGTAAGGGAAAGTTTTCACTCAAATTCTGCAACTAATATAATTTGTAATGAACCATTTGAATTTTTTTTTCTTTTTCTGAGTGGTCTCAGACTTTTGGTCCACATCAAACAGCTAAAAGCAGCATTGATTTGGGTCACTGTTGATTTTTTATAACTGCATTTAAACAATGACGTTAAGACCTAAAACAGTGATGCTGATGTTCAGGTCAGCGAAAACAGCAGGATCAGATGAAAACTGTCTTTTTGAAGTCCGATACAGATACTCATTATTAGTAATCAAGGAAACGTAACGGATATATTGGAATAATAGATTTTTTTTACACTGAAAAAGGAACATTTTGGTTTAATTTTTTTTAAATTAGTGAGACTCCACCACTAAACTTTGTTGAAATGTCTTTGCTTATGTTTTACATGTTTAATTAAAAAAGATCTTTTTAACATTTGTCCTTCAGTATTGATAGGTGGCTGATTTACAGCCAAAGTAGCACCTCCCTACATTAATTTATTGTTTAAAGCATCAAAATGCTCAATTTCTGACCCAATAAATATCCAAGTACTGAACTGATCAACCCCCATAAAAGATCCAGTCACGGCACATTGTCTCCGTTACTTACTGATGACGGCTGTCGTTCATCTTCTTGTTTGGGCCTTTAAATTACTTCCGGGTTGAAGAGGAATAGTGATGGTAACTGAGGTCCTCCCAGGCCTGGAAGATTATAGAGAATCAAGATTACTTCAAGGTTATTCTAAATGTTCCTTTAAGTTAAACGAGGCCATATAGTCTGTTTACTGAGGTTAGGTATTTAGGTATGAATATAAGTGAGTTGTACTTTACTTACGACTGCAAACTTCTGAATAGCTAACTACACTAGCAAATGTTTTACTGTTTATTCTTATTTTTTGGTACAGCTTCAGTTACATTACAGAGTAACTACAGTTAAAACCATTCATCCAGCATGGAGATGTTCCCCTTCTACTGCTTATTTCAATATCAAATTGTGCTTTTTAAACAAGAATTTACAAGAAAGTCAAAGTGAGAACAGTTATCTCCAACATAAGGTAAAGTAATAAAAATATAAACAGTAAAATAAGTGATTCCTTGCATTGCAATAACCTCTTCAAGTCAGCGTTTAGAAGATGCACCTTTGGCTTTAGTAACGGCATTGAACCTGTGTGACAGGTTGCAGTCTTCAACATCTAAACGTTGCAATTTTTACGCATTCTTCTTTGTAAAACTACTCAAATTGTCAGGCTACTTGCCACAAATTCTAAGTTGGATTGAGGTCTGGACTCTGACATGGCCTCCAGAAGTGGAAAACAAATCTTCTCCAAGTCTCAGTTCTCCTGCAGACTGCATCAGGTGGTCCTCCAGGATTTCGCTAGACTTTGCCGCATTCACCCTCTACCTTTACAAGCCATCTGAGGCCTGCTGCTGAGAAGCATCCCCATATCATGATGCTGCCACCACCATGCTACACATCGTGACGCTGCCACCACCATGCTACACATCATGATGCTGCCACCACCATGCTACACATCATGATGCTGCCACCACCATGCTACACATCATGATGCTGCCACCGCCGTGCTACACATCATGATGCTGCCACCGCCATGCTTCGCGGTGGGGATGGTGTTTTTGTGATGATGTGCAGTGTTTAGTGTCCGCCAAACATCACGTCGAGTCTGATGGACAAAAAGTTTTATTTGGGTCTTATCAGAACAAAGAACCAGCTCCAAGTGAGGCTTAAAATGAGGCTCAATTGTTGGCAAACAGTGTAACGCTCTGCATCCTGTTGCTTATGAAAGTTTGCCTGTTCACACTATAAAGAATTTTACTGTTAACTTCTTTGACAAAAAACACTTGAAAACAACCTGGAGTGTGTACAAATAAACAGCATCCATGTAGTGACCATTCATTTGTAATTTCAGCGATCTGTTGGGTCATATTCTTTTCATTCAACAAGTTATCAGGGGAGAGCGCGAACGCAGTCCCCCACTACCAGAAATTATGCAGTCGAGATTCCCACATTTGGGGAATTCGCAGGGGTCAGCACA